GTGGAGCCAAGCAAACTGAAGCTGTAAACAATCTCAATCTCTTCACCATCCATCCTGATGCTACCAATTGGTCCAGTGGTGAGAATCTTTGTCTTCCCTAAAAAGCCATTATTAAAGTTCCACTACCCCAAGCAGAAGGATGTTTTGTTTTATTTTATTTAGATGTAACAGGTTTTTTAGTAAAAAAAGCTAAATAATACAATGAGCTATATTTGAGGAGTTTTCTGAGAAGGTTACAACTTCATTCTGATTGATAACTGTAGTCATCTTTAAGCCCAAATCATTAAACAAATAGTAGATACAAAATGAAATTTCCATTTTTTCACTCAGTTAAAGCAATACCAGGAATTAAAATGTTAAGTGGAGAAATGCTTACCTGGAAAGGAGAAGTTTCCTGCAGTATTAACAAAGCTATCAGTCATTTCTCCAAACACTATCATCATGAGGGGAAGACCTGACCCATGAGCTATGGCCATGATGGTGCCCAGGGACATAAATAATTTATCCTGCCAATCAGAGTAGCGAAACTGGGGGGTGAAAAAAAGAAGAAAATTATGCTTAATTTACAGAATGTAATGTCTCTATTTATACAATTATATGCTCTTTGGATTTTCATTTTAAACCAGCACAATTTTAAAAGTTACAAATAAATGTCTTAGGAAAGAAAAGTTCCAATACAAATCATTGGCAGGTTAATATAATGATCCTATTTCTTTTGCATTCTGTGAAGAAAACCATCTCATTCTGCTTAATCAGTATCTTGTTTAGTTCGATGATTACAATATAATCAGAAAGGATAAAGGTTTGTTTCCTTTAAGAAATACTGTTCAAGCTCTCTGGGCTCACGAGGCCATGAGTTAAAAGCACCTAGAAGCAGATCATAAGTACACATACAAACACACCACACTCATTCACACACACACACACACACACACACACACACACACACACACTCACAAGGAGAATTAAAATTAGGGGAGAAAAACAGATCCTCTGAGCTTTGAGGATACGATCCCTATAAGAAGGGAGTTCTGGTGGCCTAGTGGCAAGAAGCTGCGCTGCAATCTCAAAGGCACACAGTTCGAATCCACCAGATACTCCACTGGAAGCTTTTCCAGGAGAAGGAGGGGCAATCTCCACCTGTGCCAGTTGGATTAGATTAGATTCAATAGAACAGAACAAGGGGGGGGGAGGAGGTTCCTATGAGAAGCTTCAATTAACTTGTAAAAGGCCATGTAGTAATGAAATGTAACAAACATAATGTCCATATGTGCACTTTTGCAAACAGTTAATATGTTCAGCTACTAATCAAATGATTTTAAGTTTGTTCTTCCTGGAGGCAGCTTGGAATAAAGGCCTGGCAATCTACTTCTAAGAGCAAATCAGTCCTGGAAAACCCCGTGGAGAAGAGTTCTGCTCTAACACAGATAGGGCTGTCGTGAGTTGGGGTTGACTAAACAACAGCTGCTTCTATGTGTCCTTTGGGAAAGCCTTTCTCATGGAGATGATGCACATGCAGAATTGAAAGAAAAGGGTGAGTTAGAAGACGACTCAGGGAAATGGAGATGCTTAGACTTAGAAAAGCTCCTAGAAGTGGGATACCATGAATGAAGGTTCTAGGTGTAACCTCCCATCTGGCTGGTCTGGAGTGCACAGTACAAAGTGTAGAAGATGACATCAGAGAGCAGTCTAGAGGGCCTGACAGGCTACACTAAAGATCTTAGTCTTGCTCCTAACACACAGAGAGGACAAGGGATAACTGTCACAGTGAAAGACACAAATTCCCAAGAAACAGAATGTCATAACACTTCCAAATACTTTCTCACTTGCTGTGTTTTGTTGTTATGTGCCGTCAAGAAGGAACAAACACATAGCTGACGCTCCTCAATGGGGTTTTAAAAAACTGTAAGTCACATGAAAAGAGACTACTCATCTTTCTCTCTTGGAGCACTAGTGGATTTGAACCAGCCGCCTTTGGGTGGCAGTATAACTCCTTACCGGTGGTCCCCAAAATGCTAGTGCTATCTTTCAGTCCTCTTTTTGTAATTTCTCTTCTGTTTTTCAAATACTCCCTCCTTCTCTCTGTTCTCTTTTCATCTATGACTGCCAACTACATCTTCTTCCATCTCTTATTCTTCCATTGCTTTCATTTTCCCACCTACATTTTGCATCTTCCCTTCCCCCTCTTTTAAACGTTCTCCTTACCCAATTTCCTCACCACATCCACACCGGGGGAGAGAAAACCGTCATCCAGGAGAGAATACAAAGCTGGTGCTATGAAAAACAATACCCTTCACAATAGCAAATCACAAGAGTAAATACTTGGGAGTAAATCTAACCAGAAGCACAAAGGAACTATTCAAAGAAAATTACAAAACATTACTACAAGAAACAAAAAGAGACCTAGAGAAGTGGAAGAATATCCCTTGCTCATGGATAGGAAGATTCAATATTGTGAAAATGACAATACTACCAAAGGCAATCTACACGTTCAATGCAATCTCATTACAAATACCAATTCAATTCTTCAATGAGATGGAAAAGGCAATCTCCAATTTAAGTTGGAATGGAAAGAGGCCTCAAATGAGCAAAGTACTCCTTAAAGAGAGAAACAAGGTAGGAGGCATCTCACTCTCTGATTTCAAATCCTACTACACTGCCATGGTGGTCAAGACAGCGTGGTATTGGTACAATGAGAGACGCACAGATAATGGAATAGAATTGAGAACCCAGAAATCTGCCCATCTACCTATGGTCAACTGATTTTTTACAAGGAAATGAAATCAGTTAAGTGGGGAAATGACAGGCTTTTTAACAAATGGTGTTGGCAAAATTGGAAAACCATCAGTAGAAAACTCAAGCAAGACCCACACCTCACTCCATACACAAAAACCAACTTAAAGTGGATCATGGACCTAGACAGAACTAAAACCAAGGACTGTAACCTTCATTACAGAAAAGCTTGGAAGAACACTAGAAGCCCTAATCCACAACATAAACAGTCTTCCAAGCATCCTGAAAAACCTACAACCAGGAGAGGATAAAATAGATAAATGTGACCTTCTAAGAATCAAATCCCTATGCACATCCAAAAACTTCTCCAAGAGAGTAAAAAGGGAAGCCACAGATTGGGAAAAAGTATTTGGTAATGACAAATCAGATAAGGGACTTATATCTAGAATTTATAAAATACTTGAGCACCACAACAAGATAAAGGTAAATAACCCAACTGAAAAATGGGCACAGCATATGAACAGACACTTCACCACAGACATTCAGATGGTGGCTGAGTAAAATGGTACAATCACTATGGAAGTTAGTATGGCATTTTCTCAAAAAATTGGAAATAGACACACCATTTGACCCTGCAACTCCACTACTGGGAACATACCCTTAAAGAAACCATAACCAAGCAGACATATGCACACCCATGTTTATCGTGGCTTTATTCACAATAGCAAAGAGTTGGAAACAACCCAAGTGCCCACCAACAAACAAATGGATAGAGAAACTGTGGTATATTCACACAATGGAATACTATGCTTCATTGAAAAACCAAGGAACTCATGAATTTTATACAAAATGGGTGACTCTGGAGGACATTATCCTGAGTGAAATATCTCAGTCACAAAAAGATAAATACGGCATAATGCCACTGTTATAAAACAGGACTGGCATGGGGGCCGGGAGGAAACTAAGAAAAGGGATAAATAATCTATACAACATTGAAACAGACGAGGGAGATAACTGTATAAAAGGAATATATGATCAGGTATTATTGGCATGACAAGAGTCCAGAATAAGAGCTGCATAGTAAAGTGGTCTGGGTGGGGTTGGGGATCTGTATAACAATGAAAGAACTTTTTCCCCAAAGAAAAAAGTGGTGGGGGGGGCGGGGGGAGGAAATGTACAACAAAGAATGACTGGAAACCCAAGTTCTTTATAAATTTGCATTAAAATCTCAATTAATAAAAAAGATGAGTCTATGATGAGTCAGAGTTGGCACAATGGACTCCCTAAAGGCTTACTCTGAGTCTGCCTGGGTCATTACCCCAGGACATCACATGGATTGATATCACAGGTCAAAGAATGAAGGGTGATGGTGGGAGTGTGGGGGAGGGCCACTGTGCAAACTGTTCTCAAAGAGTTCCAGAAGCTCAGTTTGTGGAGGCCAAATTCCATCATCAAATGCACTGCATTAGCAAGGGTATTGCAGGAGACAAAAGATTAAAAGCCACATACAAGAGTAAATCAGGATGAGTCCTTAAAAGTGCTACCAGAGATTGGTATGCCCAAGATCTTTAGTGACTTCTGGGAAGGGGGATGAAGGGAGCCTGTCAGGGAGTTTAAGGGTCAGGGTCAGGTGGTCATGTAACATTTTCTTTTCAGAGCATTACATAAATTGTAATATTCTCATTAATGACCATAAAGAAATGGCAATATTCTTTGCACTGAGCTTGATATAATTTGAGGTATTTTTAAAGGCTTTTCTTATAAATTGCAGACTTTAAGATTCTAAGCTTAAATTTAAAATTAGGGTGAATTTCACACTAAAATCCTAAATAAACTTTTTTCCAGGATAAGTAATGTATTTTCGGAGTCTAAGTAAAGATTTCAGTGATACTTTTAATCAAATGAGATTTTCTGTTTGTTTTAGTTTTCAGTAATTTTTGTCCTTTAGGAAATTACGTTTAAACATTTCTGCATTAAAATCAGATTTGGTTTTTCCCAATTATTCTTTAAGGCACAGTATTAAAAACAGCTACCACATGGGAGAAAGATGGTCAAACTACTGCTGAGAAATTTACTGCCTCTAAAAACCTGCTGGAGGGTTGGCTAGGATTCAGTTCCAACTTAACAGTACACAACAACAACAACAACAACTGAGGTTTTTAACATAAAAAGATCCCCAAGATATTGAAGAAGAGGACGGACAAGGGTTCTGTGATGACAGAGAGAAGTACCAAACAACATTCAAGAGCATAGAGGTTTTGGTGTCTTTCATCCATCTACTCACTAAATTAGAGCTTTCCACTGACATGCCACTTAAACCTACCGACTTGACTTTCCAATAATGGCTATGACAGCTTGAAGTGCATCATGTTTACTCACAGTGGGCAGTTTTTTAGGAAGCATCTAAGAGATATTTAACAAACTCAAAACGGCAGATTAGAATTCTTCCAAAAAGCTCTGGTGGCCTAGTGGCAAGAAGCTGCACTGCAATCCCAGAGGAACACCGTTCGAATCCACCAGATGCTCTGCCGGAGAAGGAGGCACAATATCCTCCTGTACCAGTCAGATCTGATTTGACGGTACATGCACACAAAATAATAATAAAGAAAAAAAAAAAGAATTCTTCCAAAAAGCTCTGGTGGCCTAGTGGCAAGAAGCTGCACTGCAATCCCAGAGGAACACCGTTCGAATCCACCAGATGCTCTGCCGGAGAAGGAGGCACAATATCCTCCTGTATCAGTCAGATCTGATTTGACAGTACATGCACACAAAATAATAATAAAGAAAAAAAAAAGAATTCTTCCAAAAACTGGTTAGCTTGACTTAGACCAGCAAATGGTCTTAATTTGAGTCTAAGAATTGCACTATATTCAACCAATATTTCACTAAAAATTAAATGTGAGTGTATATTCAGTAATGTTTTAACTTTTCTGTAGTTAACGATCACCTTTTAGTTCCAAGCTCATGCTAAATTTTCTATTTATTTTGTTGTGAAATATACATATTTTTCTTCAATTGTTAATTTGCATGGTGCCACTAACACAGGTCTTACTTTCAATTTCTCTGTGTACAAGTTAAGTCAGCCTTGTTTCACAGCCTCTCTGCCCCTAGCTGTTTGCTTATCCTTCTTGGAAACGTGGGTTGTCAACTACAATGAGCCAATCTAAAGCAGCACTGGCGCAACAGGGAGACTCTATTGCTACTTGTTTATAATCTTCCAGGTCTCGCTTTTCACTTATTGATTCAAAATAAAAGTTGAATAAGGCTGTGCCATTCATATTTAATATTTTATCAGCTTACCAATGCTAATGGTCCAATTAAATTTACTTTCTTCATTTTTTTCTTGTCTTGGTTTCTGTAAAATAGAATTGTTTGAATTAAACACTGTTATGTTTTCATCCAGCTGAACTCAAATTTTATAGTTATGGCATTCAGTTATTATACGGCTTTAAAATATTTTTTAAATGAGACTATAAATTGTCAAAATTACCCATTCTATCACACACTGCAAACTAGCCATTGTCTACAGAAGTAACTGTCCAAGGTACTACAGGATATACAGAAAATGTGAAATGGTCAATTGTCTTACAGAGCTAACACACACGGGGACATTAACACTAATGATATCTGCCCAGCCAGTTATATCCTTCTTCCGTTTAAAAACAAAACAAACAGAGAAGCTTAAAATTTTAGAGGCCACTCTTCTGAAGGAAGGCATGTGAGAAATTGTTAGGAAATACACTAAAAATGCATCTAAAATTCATCTGCTTCCCACATTTTCCTTCTCCAGGTACAAGATATCGTTGTCTCTTATCTGGATTTTTAAGACAATCTCCTGCCTAGTCTTTGCACTTTGCAGTATGCCCGCTTCAGTCTATCCTCAACACAGCAGCCAGAGTAACCATTTAAAAATTCAAACCACAGCATGTCTGTTTTTTGCTTAAGACTTACAATGGCTCTCAGTTTTTGTCAGAGTAAATGTGTAAGACTTTACACCGACTTCTAAGGCCCTATGATGTAGCATCATGTTACCTCCTGACAGCATCTCTCACTTCTACCCCTGCTCACTCTGCTCCAACCCGGTGGCCTTGATATCATTCTGCGAAGGTACCAGACTAGTTTCTACCTCAGAGGTTTTTGTATTGGCAGTTCTCTCTGCCAAAGATACTGTCCTCCCAGATATCCACATGCTTCTCTCCTCTCATTTTGTTCAAGCCTTTGCTTAGATGATGCTTTATTCAGTCACTCCTCTCCTAACCACTTTATTAAAGATTGATCATGACCTTCTACTGACCCTCTTAACCTTGACTTCCCTTTTCCACTGTTCATCATCCTCTTTCTCTACAATTTGCTTATTTAACATGTCAGTTATTTCTATTTTGTCATCTATACAATGATGTTAACTCCACAAGGTTGGATTTTATGTGGCATTTGGGATAGTTTTGGGGTTTTTTTCGGTTTTATTTTTGGTTTGTTTGGGTTTTTTTGTCTAAAATACATTTTTCTAGCTTAAATTTCTAGATATGTGATAAATGATCACAAGACTTGATTTTAAATCATTTGGTATATTTCCCAAACTTTAAAAGTCAAGCACTGCCACTAAAGATATTTTTAAATATATTTCACAAAGGATACCAACATTATTAGAACAAGCATGTCACTGACTCCAAATTTGCCCTAAATTTTGAACTGGGCTTAATATCCTTTAAATGTACTGGTTCAATTTTACATAAAATTATGCTTCATTTTATCTTAAAGCTTTAACTTCTTAACTTTCTATCATACCTTAAAACTTTAGCTTGTTCTTAATGCCTTTATCTTTTGAACTGTTTGCTTCTTTCCAACACAAGACTGTGAGTGAGTTAGACTTCTGAGGATATCCCTGGGTTCTGGAGTGTTACTGCAACTTCTGTGGGGACAGCTCCTTTGTACACTGATCATATGTTCAGCCAGTCCAATACAGAAATAGCCTACTTCATGAAAATGCCATCTATTTATAGATTCACAGTCAATCCCAGCCTAATTGCAGCCAACGACAAATCACATTTTTCTATTATGAAGAACACTCTCCATCCTTTCTCCAATTCTATGTGGCAAAACTAAACTTTCTATGATTAAGTACCACCACTGTGACTGTCTAAAGCAGTTAACAGGCAAAAAGAATGTGTCAGCCTGAACAACAGATAGGCATGTTTCAGTTAGCTAATCAGGTCCCTTGCAGCTTGCGGACAAACTTAAGAACTTGATAAATTTGTCCCTCTGAGTGATCCCTCTATGACACTGGTCAATTAGTTCTGGGTGGCCTAACGTGAACTCAGAGACCATAATAGCCTCATAAACTATTTGAGGCTAAAGGCGAAAATGATTCATTATTCCCACAGTGAAAGAGGAAGCAGGGACACACACCAATGACCGATTCTTCTCCCAAGGCCTGCGTAGGGCGTCAAACAAGGGTCCCCGGGAGTGAAAAGAAACTCAGACAGTGGAGGGAGAAACACACACAAGCAAAGAGCGAGCTGAGCTGAGGCTTTCCCCTGGCACTTGAACAAAAAAGGATATGAAAGAGCAGGTTATGGATGAAATGAGGCTGCTCAAGGGGCCCCCTCCCCATCTCCTCTCTGGGGGTTGGAAGGGAAACGGAAGGAACCGGAAGGGCCTGCCGGGGGTAGAAGAGGGAAAGGCAGGCGAAGCCCCAGGGCCCCAAAACCCCGCAGACAAGGTAAGTATGGGTGTACTTGTGCTTATTTGCTAATTTGTAGTGAACAGTTGCACATTTTTCTCAGCACACCAAAGACTGTGCTGCAAAGTATGACTGTTATCTGTCTCCCTCTCTGTCAATCCCCCCTGAGCTTCCCTATAGAACCAAACCCTCTTCCAAATTTACAATCCGTGGTTGATCCAAACCACCCACTGATGGTGGGCAGCTGTCTGCGCACTCCGCGCCTGCAAATGTGATTCTTTAGGAAGATGCTGTAGGTTTCGGACAGAGGCGAATGCCAGCCATACCTAGAAGCGGAATCTTTTATATAATGAAAAACCACGAAGCATTTCGCTCCAGGCTGGCAAATAAGCACAAGGAAACCCGTGCTTACCTGGCTGGTGGGGTAGCCTGACCCTGAAGGGAGAGAGAAATAACAAGGGGAGGGAGCAGGGCAGGCTCTTTGCTAACTTTTTTCCAAAAACTCAAAAAGAGCTACTGTACAAGCCTGATGCTCTAGAAACATGGGGGGAATAACTGGATGTACACGAAAGCTATTTTTAATAAAGGAAACTAAACCTAAATTAAGTTATGTGATAAAAGTAATATTATTCCACATCTTAGCTATTTATCCAAGTCCTCTGTTCGGAGAGAAACAGACACTTGAAGACACTCTTCTCCCTGACACTGTTCCAAGCGAGGAGCCCGCAGGACATTAGCTGAGGTTAATAAAACTTCTGCTCCAAGGTCAGAACTTGAGACTAAACCCTCCAACTCCGCCTGACTCGCTCAGCGTCTTCCCAGGGCCGAATCCGGCCCGGCTGGTCCCCAAGTAGCAGGAAAGCGGGCGGCTGCGGGTGGGTGATGTACCTGCGGGCGCCCAGTTCAAAGCTGTCCTCCGCGCTCCAGGGGCTCCGGGCTGTTCCGTTCTTTCCCGCCTCAAGGTCCATCTCAGCCTGGGGAGAAACCACAGACTCAGGTCCAAGCGCGCCGCTTCGGGGAGGACAACCAGCCTCCTCTCGCTCTGCACCCGAGCGGCTGGAACTCAGCGCGCGGGTGTCCAGGCCTTGGGGGCGCAAGGGCTACGGTCCAGGTCCCCCCACCGCGCCGCCCGCCCTGGGGGTTCTCGGCCCGGCAGTCCTCACCTCACACTTGGCGCGTGTCTGGGCGAGCAGCTGCGCGCGCGGGTCTCTGCGCTCCAGGGGCCTGGACTTTGCTCGCCGCGGCCTCACCCCCGCCCCCCGCGCGTCCGGCCCCAGCG